TCTTCTTAATTTCATTTAATGTCGAGAGTGCAGATTACCCCTCCTGCTAATAGCCATGTAAAGACATCAGCATCTGCTGCCTCTGATCCAAGAACAGTGTCGAGTTACGTGCTAATGGATCCTCATTACTGCACAAAGAGGGTTCAGTGAACTTTAGATTCCTGACGTATCTCAGCTGGCAGTCGTGTGATAAACTGTAAACTGTTTGTAAAACCTGATTCAGGACCACACTGATTACATCTAGACTCAGATAAGAAAAGTTTGTAACATCAACATAGCATGAAACTTTAAGTCATTTACTTCAGCTACGTGTCTTTCCAAACTCATGTGATGCTATTTTTTCTGTAGAACACAAATTGAGAATTTCAAAAGAATAGCCTGTAAACACTCATTTGAATTTAACGAAATTAAAAAGATCCAAAATGCTTTATGCCCGAGAGGTTTTCTAAATGTCTTAATTGATTGCATAATACTTTCATGGTTTACAGATTTTCTAGTGATAAAGTATGTTTATGAGCTGGTAAATTCAGAAAATGATCCAAAATAAAAACTTGATTAAAACTAAATGATCTCATGATGGGAACGCCTAAAAAAGTTCTAAATCTGAAACTATTAGTTCTATATAGAACCTTTTCTTAATATGACCTGTTAACAGTGCATCTTTGTTTTAACACAACGTTTTAAATATGAAAATGATCCTCGTCCATACTGGTGTTTCAAAAGCAATCTCCGTCCACACTACATGACCGAAAATGCAAGTCACATGACCACAAATGTGACAAAAGTACAAGCGGAAACCGTTCCCGTTTGTTGCCGATTGCTCTAATAATAGCTTGCATTTTTCGATATAGACAGCTGCAGTGTTATAAAATGCAGAGTTTAACTGTATGGACAACAAAGTCAGCAAAGCTTGTAGTTCTAGCCTCCATGTTATTGTTTACATGGTCGTCAAGGCTGGTATTGTCGTGTTCCAGTAGCGTAATGGTCATATGATAGGGCAACACATTCTCATCCCAAGACGTCATCTAACTGACGTTTTTGACCATACGTCAACCTCCGATGTTTTAGGGCACCCTTTAACGTCAGTTAGATGACGCTATTCTAGGGCGCTTTACCTTTAGCGTCAGTTAGATGACTCAGGTTTAGGTCTGGGGTAGGGGTAGGGTTAGATAGTGTCATCTAACTGACGTTAAAGGGTGCCCTAAAACGTCGGATGTTGACGTATGGTCAAAAGCGTCAGTTAGATGACGTCTTGGGATGAGAACGGGTTGGGTAGGGACTTGACGAATCGGTGAAGGATACGCAATGATCCAGAATACCCAATCAAGGTAGTCACGCCTTTGTTTTCAAAAGTTTCCATTTTACCATGGACTGATTTGATCTAATTTGCCGTACGTTATTATTATTTACTTTATTTTTTTACTTATATATATATATATATTTTTGTTGTTGTTTGTTTATTTATTTATTTATTTATTTTTCTTTCTTATTATTGTTATTATTATTGTTATTATTTCTCTCTTTTATGTTAATAAAATGTTAAAATCAATAAAAAGACAATTGAAAAAAAAAAAAAAAAAAAGAAGTTTCCATTTTGGCCCGTCTACACTGACACGTGACCTGGAGCCGGTTGCACCAACAGGGCTTTACTAAGCCTGGTCCTAACTGCTAAGTAGGTCTTAGTTAAGACCAGTCTTTAGAGTTGACCTAACGTCGGTTGCACCAACCAGGCTTAAGCCAAGGCTTAACTACGCCTGGTCTTAGCGATGCGTGTTCATGTGAATGGCCATGGAACTCTAGCGGTTGCCTAGCAGCGTGCGTTGCTGGGTTACGCTGTAAACGATCTTCCGCTGTTTTGTTAACTTGTAGCCGTATTAATGGAGGATCAAAGAAAAGGGAAAGGAAATTTCACTGACATTGAGATATTAAAGTTAATAGAGCTGTACAGTCAGCACGTGACAATTCGCTTCATTCGCGGAAGCATTACGTCTGTCTCCTGCACGCGAGAGGAGAGGTAGAAGAACGTTGGTAATAAATGTCAGTTCAATTGTAAGTTCATTCTTTATGTGCTTAGGAGTGTACGCTATCTATCGTCTATGATGATATTGTAATCATTGTTTTAACTATGGACGAGGCACTGCGAGCTGACATCACATTTGTTTTGCGTGCTTGTTTTCACTGCTTGATGCGTAACTGCAGTTATAGGTATGTCCCTAAATAAGTTTTTGTCTTATATTTATATCATATTATGTTATTAAAATGTTATTATTGTATACAACAGTTAAATTAACAATAAGTTAACATTATGAGTTACTTTTTAGACACAATATTGTGAATATTGTTTGTTTCCCCTTTATTTCGCTGACGAGAATTTCAAAATGAAGCCGTAGCAGAGTCTCCATGCAATAGACAGTGAAGATTTGACCGTTATTAACAAATCATTTTAACGATTCATTATCTGTCGGAAAACGGATAGGCCTATTAAAGCTATTATATGCCTAGAATTTGACTTTACGCCTGCTACTGACTAGGCGTAAGATTTACGCTCGGTCTTAGTGAGAAGAGGGCTTAAGCCTGGATGGTGCAACAGTCGTAACTATTAGGTCGGACTTAGAATGCTGAGTTAAGACCTACTTACCTTAAGACCAGGCGTAAGCCCTGTTGGTGCAACTGGCCCCAGGGGCCAGAGTTTGGAGTTTTCCAACTAAAACGGGGTCAGCAGCGTTTCCAAAAGTCTCCGTTTTTGAGGGTCAGAAACTCTGGAGTAGTGTTGATGCCAGGCAGAACCACAGCTAAAGTTATACGCACTAGTGTAAACCGGGTCTAAGATTGTGGAAATTCTCCAGAATTACAGTTTGGAACATTGTCAAGTCAAGTCAAGTCACATTTATTTATATAGCGCTTTTCACAATACAGATTGTATCAAAGCAGCTTCACAGTGATAACATGAAAGTAGTACAACACAGATCAACAACATTGCTAAACACTAAATAACCCCAACTGAGCACGCCAAAAGCAAGGCGACAGTGGCAAGGAACCAAACTCCATCAGATTGGATGGAGAAAAAACCTTGGGAGAACCCAGGCTCAGTCGGGGGCTTACATTCATATTGTTTATATATAAATATTAAATATAAATATTGTTTATGTATAAAACGGCGCCATAACATATCGCAGGCGTTGAGTCGTCTCTTCACAGGCGTTGGTCCTCTCATCATTGTCAGGGTGAATTTCTTTTTTTGTGAACTATGATGCTAATGTTTTAGCCAAACGTTACACATCGAGCTCATGGGCACGAATGGGTTAATATGGCCTAGCTGATTTATAGGGTTCTGTAAATAAGATGTCTTTTGCAGCCAGTCATTAACTGAATGATCTGTTTTTATTTGCAGACGTGACCCTTTGTATTTCCATAGGTAAAAATCCTGTACCGACCGATCTGTAATTATGCCTTTTACTCGCCACCGCTTCAGACAAACTATAAATCACGCAAAACACAACTGCGTCTGAGGAATGTGAAATGGTTTGGCCCTCTGCAGACACACACAGATACACAGATGCACTCTCTCCTCTTACACATTCACACACTCCGGCACATATATACTGTCCTTTTGTCTCTTTTGACGTCCCTCAGCTGTGCACTGTCACTCAGCCCATTTCATGCTGCTGTCACAGGACATTCTCCCACAAATCTTCCACACACATGTTCCCTCTGACACACGTGACAGAAACACACACACGAGCATTCAACTCTGACAAGTCACATACATCATATTACAGAAGTGAAATGAGTTGTGTGGGGGTTTTACTAACAGCAAATGTTGATTTGCTTATGATTTGTATAAAATAATTCGATTTGAATTGGTGCTTTCAAAATGGGAATGCAAAGAAAGAAGCATTTTTTTGAATACTCAAATTTAACTTACTGTGAAATCAAACATTCTGACACAAAATGACATTTAAGTATCCATTAATCACACTGAAAAAATACCTTTTTAATTAATACTTTTGTCTTATATTCTTGTCTAAACGGTGGTAAATATACACAAGGAGCAAAATAGCTCAAGATATTATGATGTAACTTTATTTTTCTTATCCCATTAGAAATGTATAAATATTATAAAGCATAAATCTCTCTAAATTTAGTGTGGTTGTGCTTAAAAGGTAAAAAAAAAAAAAAAAAAGCAATGCAGTGCATGAATATAGAACAATGAGTTGTTTTTTATAACCTGAAAATCTAATTTACTGCAACATGATTGAAATTTGGCATGCAGAATTCAAGGAACTATATCTAGACATCAAGGAATTCTATCTGACCAAAATGTGCTCTTGTCACAAGGACTCGTTCTGACTAACCTCTATGATATAGGGTTCTGTGTGCCACATGGCGAATAAAGAGAAATCCAACTTCTCAGAAAGTACTCCCTAGAATGGAATAGAGTGGATCTAAAATAATCTTTGTATTTTTGCATTTTTATCAAGCAATGACCCGATCAATCCAATTCACTTCCAAACTACACACACATGCAATCATTTGAACTCGGTCTAGTGTTTGTCCTCTCCGCAGAAAGTCATCTGGCCTTGAAATCATAGTGATACGTCAGCCACCAACCATACACACACATGTATCAATCACCCGGGAATGTAAACCAAGCTTGGCTGAGCACTTTAATCATGTACTACTGAACTTTGTCCCAGTATTTAGTAGGAGATCTTGGTCCCTTTAATTCAGTGACATGTGTATCTCACGGATACTTGGAAAGACGTCAGTTTTACTTGGTAAAACCTTTAAATATATATTACCTATATCATGTGTATATTTTGGCCTGAGGCTAAACAGATTGAGTCATAAACATGCTTTACATTCTGCTCCCCAGCATCTTTGTTTTGGCCTCACCTTTATTTAAATAAATTTGAATAATCCCCTCTTGGCAAATTGTTCTGTATCTTGTCACATTCCTGTGTGTTGAAGAGCTTATCATGTTCTTTTGATCTCTGCAGGTGTAGGTACAAGATGAAGAAGTTAAGAAATACATGCCAGCGGTGATCCTGAAAATGTGTTTCCCACGGAAATGAACTGCATACAGGTGAATCTCATGCTTTAAGAAATTTGAATTAAAAGACGTAAAGTTTCATGACAATTAACCACATTTCAGGCCCAATTTCCATTACTGTAATGCATCTGGAGGTTTTTTTTTGTACAACTCCCATGATTCAAACGTCATTATACTTTGCAGTAAGATGCGTGGGGGCTGAAAACACACTTTTGAGACCACTGAAGTGCAGCTAACCACCTGCCTGTAGTGAGACATTTGCACCTTTGCAGTTTAGTCATATCACTCTTGAAAGACCCATCCCCCACTCCTCCTCCTTTTTTATCCGTTTCTCCACAGGCAAAACGAAGAAAAGCCCCCTCGGCCCGAGAGAATAAGCGAGAGGGGTGGAATGAGAGAGCGAGCGAGTCATGAGTGCAGCTTTGAACAACAAGGGGAAATCCTCCTATTGAGAGGCATGCGCTGTGGAAACACTCATCACTCATAGAGGTAACGGAACCGGAGGCCATGCACAAACCAAAACCTTTAGCCAATTATCTGGGGAACGTCTTCTTGATGCAGTGTTATGCAAAACGGTAGCGATTTTAACAGAAAATGCAAACTGCGTTTCCTGAACGTTTAAAGATGCTAAAAGGCTTTTTTTTTTTTTTTTTTGAAAAGTTAAAGGGATACTCCACTTTTTTTGGAAACATGCTCATTTTACAACTCCCCCAGAGTTAAACTGTTGAGTTTTACCGTTATTGAATCCATTCAGCCGATCTCCGGTTCTGGTGGTACCACTTTTAGCATAGCTTAGCATGCATCATTGAAGTGGACAAAAACAGTAGCATTTCTCAAAAAAAGAAATAACCAAAGTGTTTTGATATTTTTCATATTTAAAACTTGACTCTTCTGTTGTTACATTGTGCACTAATACCGACGGAAAATGTAAAGTTGCGATTTTCTAGGCTGATATGGCAAGGAACTATACTCTCATTCCTGCGTAATAATCAAGAAACTTTACTGCCGTACCATGAGTGCGACAGGCGTAATGATATGACGCAGCGCCTGAAAATAGGCTACCTTCAGTCACATTGAGATGGTTCTCACTGCAGAACATGAAATCCACGGGGAGGAGTCGGATCCAGATCCAACTCCTCCCACCTTACATATTTATAAACCTGATCCCTAACCCCACCCCTAAACCCACCCAGCTCCACCCCCTGATCCCTAACCCCACCCCTAAACCCACCCAGCTCCACCCCCTGATCCCTAACCCCACCCTTAAACCTACCCAGCTCCACCCCCTGATCCCTAACCCCACCCTTAAACCCACCCAGCTCCACCCCCTGATCCCTAACCCCACTCCTAAACCCACCCTGCTCCACTCCTTGATCCCTAAACCCACCCCTAAACCATAGAAGTTACCAAGCTGGGGACTATTTTCAGGTGCTGCGTCATATCATTGCGACTTTACAAATGTAAAATCGCAACTTTACATTTACCGTTCTTAGTGCACAATGTAACTACAGAAGAGTCAAGTTTTAAATAGGAAAAATATTGGTCTTTTTTTTTTTTTTTGAGAAATGCTAATGGTCTTATCCACTTCAATGATGCTAAGCTATGCTAAAAGTGGTACCGCCAGAACCGGAGATCGGCTGAATGGATTCAATAACGGTAAAACTCAACTGTTTAACTCTGGGGGAGTTTTAAAATGAGGCTATTTCCAAAAAAAGTGGAGTATCCCTTTAAAGATCTGACCACCTACAAAATGCATGCATGAACATAACCCTGATTGTTTTGCATGTTCTTGTAAAATGTGACTCGATTTCTTCTTGGAGCGATTCAAATTTGTGGTTTTTCACACTGAAATACTTGAAGCGCATCAAGAAGTCAGCGAGGCCCACACAATGGAGTTATGTAGGGAAATTTCACATGAATGTCATATGTAAGTATTCACCACGTACTTTCTGTTGTAGCACTTGAGCTAGCAGTTTACTCACAGGAAACTCAGGGGGAAGCTCCCCATCTGTGTTTAACATAAAAAAAGGAACGTTTCCTGTCGCTTACAAGTTACAACTGTTTCTTTCACATCTGTCTCATTTGCATGATTTCCACCCTGATGTTAGAGTCAGTGTTTATAAGCCCAAAGAGTTACATAATATAATTACCTTTATCCTGCTTCAACAGAAGTCAACAGGAAGTACATGTTTTTGAATGGTTGTATGTGGTCATTATGAGAGCACTCATTTAATTAATTGAATCCATTGGCCTATTTTCTTGGAAAAATGAATGCAGAATGTTACAGAAACAAAAATGTTTTATTTTAATTGTTGATCAAACCACAAAAACCTGCAGTAAATGATGATTTCATGCATGAGCATTTTAAAACTCGTAGTCTTTCAGCATACTATAATAATTTAGGAGGTAATTTAACATCCTGTGCAGAAATTATGAAATGATGTTCATTAACAGATGGCTCTGATAATCTCATGTTTCATTGGCTGAAAACAGGACACAGCTCATATGATCAAATTATCCATTTACTTCCCCATTGTATCCAACGCATGTCTGAATATTACTGCATTATGAAATTATTAATATTCAGACAGCGCATGTCTGAATATGAAATCAAATAGCCTTTTTGAATGAAAGATAGTGCAAACAAAACATTAATGTAATTTAAGTGGCCAATTAAGCATCCAAATGCTTGTTAGGTCTGTATATTCACAAACGATTTTGCAACACATTGTTGTTTCTGCATTTCTTTCTTACTGCATGCTTTTTTCCTGATGAATGATAAAAACATTGAAAACCAATCAGAATCCATCCTACTTTCAGAGCTTGAGCATTTAAAGTGGCAGGCGTAAAAACTACAGCGCTTTCTTAGAATAAACAGACCGATATCGTCCACTGGTGTGGATGCAAATATGGTTATTTTTATCGTTCTTGGTGTAAACAGGGGTTTATGTTTTCATCTTCTTTCTATAAAACAGATACTTTTTTACATTGATTTGAACTTGTTTGATGTTTCTTAACAATACAGTATAAAACTTTAAGCTGAAACGACACATGTAGAAGCCTTTGGCTTTTAAATGTATTGACAAGCTCTTGCGAATCCATAATGTTGCTCCAACAGAAAAAAGAACAAGCGAAATATTTGTAGACGGAGGTGTCAAGTGTTAAATCTTAACACAAAGAGGTCAAGAACAGGTGGGTTGAAGGGTATATTATGGGAATGGTACACTTTTACATCCTGACGGTTGTTTGGTTGAAATCAGAAGATCATGACTAATCAACCACCTGAAGCTCCCACCCCATTACCAGAAGAGTTCAAAGAGATTGGGTTCCTGTGTGTGTGTTATGATCTACCATCAGTCCAATCATCTAACCAAGTTAACTGACTGTCTTGTCTTCACAGTTGATTGTGCATGACAAGAACGTCCAACTAAAAATATCAACCACCACCAGTAAAACTGGTATGATCATGAATGATTTCTGAAGCTCTGAGACTTTCGGTGAGCTCATTAATGGTGTTGTGGTGTCTTATGATTCACTTGCTGTATCGTCAGATCATGCTGAAGGTAGAGATGAGTTGTCAGACACCAACATGCGTACAAGGGGAAGCCCCCCGTGCAATAACAAGACGTATCATCTGACATACATGACAGAAATGGAAGTTTTCGGCTCAAAAACACCCACCCATGAGGCCCAGGTCAAATATAGAGCTTTTTTCTGAAAAAATGAAAGGGAATCTTTTTTTAAGGGGCATTATCGATTTTTCTCTCTCTCTCTCCCATACCTCACTCATACTAAGTCAAGTAGCCTATTGGTATTATCATAGGTTTTACTTAAAGGAGTAGTTCACTTTTGAACAGACTTTTGCTGATAATTTACTCACCCCCATGTCATCCAAGATGTCCATGTCATTCTTTCTTCAGTCGAAAAGAAATTAAGGTTTTTGATGAAAATATTCCAGCATTTTTCTCCATATAATGCACTTCAATGGGAACCAAACGGTTCAAGGCCCTAAAGACACATTCAGTACAAACTGCAAACTGTTCAAAGGGCTTTAAACGACTCCAGACGATGAATAAGGGTCTTATCAAGCGAAACGATCGTTCATTTAAAAAAACTAAAGTTTGTTTTATAAGCTCAAATGCTCGCCTTGCTCTTTTCTGTGACGTGCGTTCGTGACTCTCCTGTTCGAACTCGTTCATCAAAATGAACAAATCTTTTTCAGAGTCAACTCGTTCGTTGATTCGTTCGTTAATTTCTTTTCGACTGAAGAAAGAATGAGATGGACATCTTGTATGATATGGGGGTGAGTAAATTATCAGCAAATGTTTGTTCAAAAGTGAACTATTCCTTTAAGGTTAGCGATTTAAACAAATCCCAAATAATTAATATAATAAGGTATTAACTCGTCCCACAATGTCAAAACTACCAAACAAATATGACAGACTTGGATAGTCATATTGGGACCATGGATCTTGGTATGCAGCCATGATGTAGAACACCTTAGCAACACCCTGGCAACCACCCAGAGCACCCTAGTTATAACACAACAGCCTGGCATCATGACTAAGTTTTACACAGGCAAACTACTCTTGTGTGAGTTAAACTGTCACAACTCATGAATTACGTGAGTTTTGCGTAAAATGATGTACAGATCTGCATTGCAATGGTCTTACTGATGTAAATGGTTTTAACCATAACTTCTATTTTCATCTAAACTGACCTTTTTTTGGTCACCCAGATTTCACAGAGCTTTTCTCAGGCTTGTTGGCTAGTCACAGACCACACATGCTGGAGAACGCTGAAATTAAAGCAGAGTTTTTCCTTGAGGTAATTAAAAATGTCACATAAGGGCTTCATTATAAAGCCATATAGTTTCCTGATGAGAGGTATGCTTACAGCAAAATAAAATAAAACATGCAAGTTGGAATTTGATGCTTTTTTATGTCCTTTTTTAAGCGCCTATCGATGGCAGCTTCACTTTCACAGTACAGAGAACCTTTGAAATTCAGAAAAACTGCTTTTTTACTTGTTTAGAATGAAATATTCCTAAAGTAATCTTTATAAATAAGATTTAATCATATTCAGACACAGACTTTGGTCTAGATTCCCTGACTCCGCCGGCCTGTGAGTATTTGTTATTTTCCATGTGCGTCTTTATGTACAGTATGTACAGTATGTCTCTGTACTTCTATGAATTTTCCTGGAGTGTGGTCCACGTGTGAGGGATCACCCCTAGCGTCTGGTAGGCTGGGATGAAGGTATTTTCTCCGCCCCCTGTGTTCAGCCCCTTTAGGGTCCGCACAAGCACATACTGTACATAAAGAAGGTGGCCTCTTCAGCTTAGCCAGAGAGAGTTGAGTTTCTAGGAAAAGCCTCACAGAGCGTCTCCATCCTAGCCAATGTTTAACAGGTGCCATAGCTGACCAACAATAACAACACTGAGGAACTCACTGACCCCGACTCAGAGTGCTTTCCAAACTGTTTCAAACTGAGGAGATGGAATGACTCTCTAGTCTCTTGAATTTAATGTTATTTAGGTATTCAAGTTTTTTATTTGTAATTATTTATGAATAATTTTATTTTATTAAGTTTTTATTTTTAATTATTTATTATTCCTATTTTGGTTTTCTTATTAAAGGTACACTATGTAAGATTTAAACGAATCACGGTTATACAGCTCAACACGGTTAGTCTTTTTTGTTTAAATCTTGTTTCTTGATTTACCGCGAGTAGCATATTTACCATGCCTAATATCGATCAAGTGTCATTTCATTCGATTTTTTTTTTAACTAAGGCCCCGTCCACACTACTGCGTTTTTGTTTAAAAACAGAAACCTATTGCTACGTTTGCACCTCCCGTCCGAACTAGAAACGCTGCAGCGTCGTTTTGCGTTTTGAAACTGTCTCAAACTGTCATGACGTGTCCTTCCCTGATTCGTCAGCCACTCATCACATGACCCATTTCCTATTTACACCGGCACGCGCATGCCCATTGTTGGTGAATGGTCACGTGATCCTCGGTTTCAGTCTCGTTTTTAATGTGGACGGAGATCAATTTTAATACGCACATTAAACACTGGTGTGGATGGAGATCGTATTTGTTTTAATACTCCATTTTTAAACGAAAACACAGTAGTTTGGACGGCGCCTAAGATTTTCCTTAAGTACTTTCACTTAAAAAAGCAATCTGGTGGGTTAAAAAAAAAAACTAACATTGAATAGGGAACCCGAGACGTATCTAATAGGAGGCCATTCAATTACACAACAATGCCTGGAAACGCTAACTTAGGTTTTAAATTTGCACTTTTATTGAATCCGATACCGTTAGCGTCTCAAATGTAAATTTGTGTAAACGGTGGCATCATGCGCATGCATATTAAGTGTTTAATCTATAGGCGTTGTGTTTTTTCACAAAGTGACACCGCCAACTACTGGCCTGGCATGAATAATGAAGCGTTTTTAGTCGATTGTTTTGGAAAACTTTTCCATTTTTATTACATCATTGTCTTGTAAACAACACACCCTTCAGTTGCAAATGATGCTTTTTGTGCAAGTTTACACTAGCATTATGTAACGGCACGATTCTCACAGTTGTTCAGTTGGTGTCTTGACAAAGTGTAGATATGTCCTGAGGCGTGCAGAACTGAGATTACATTGACTGCGCTGACATGCAGTTATAATTAGTTTTCAAACAGCAACTGCTCTTGAATTCTTTCACACACTTTCCCTTTTCCTCTTTCTCCCCACATACACCTTGACCCTCTTGGGCATTTTTGGGGGAAGGGATTAAAGCTTGAGACGGGGGTTGGAAGGGGCAGAACAATTACCCTGTAGAGGCGTTGGGCCAGACCCCTGCAGGTAGAGCTGACAGGCCGAGACCTCAGGCTGTCATGAGCTATTAGCTAGGCAGAGACGGCCGGAGAACACACACACACTGATGGATGAACTAAACAAAGAATAGGTTTTTTTTTTTTTTGGGGTCTATATGTTCAGCATACTACTTGTACTTATTCTCTATATTATGCATGCCACGCTGTATGGCAATATCCACAAATGCACGCTTATCAAATAACAAAAGAAAAAAAAAAAATCAGCCGCAAAGTTGTTGTTGTTTTTTAACCACACACTATGTACTGTGGAAATTGCCTCCATTGAAGAATGACCTACCTTTGAACATATACTGGGTGTGTGTCAACCGAATGATGCAAAGCACTTAAATCATGTGCAACTCTTGCTCACACACACAAACACACGTGGACTGTAAATACTTCCCATGATAGCGAGGGGAAAAACATGATGCTTTGCATTTTAAAACACATCACTACAAACAGCACCCCCCCCCCCCCCCCTCTCACACCTTTTCTTTACTTCTCTTTTCTTCTCTTTGCTGTACGTTTCTTGGTTTCTTCCTCTTTCTAAATTCATAATTCCGTAATCTAATGTATAAAAACAATAAATTTCACAGGTTTACAGGCGTGTCTGTTCATTTTCTTTGGTCACTGTGCTCAATAACCTGTTTTACCCACAGAGTTTCACTCAGGGGAATAAAAGGACAGAGTGACCAATAAACCATCAATGAACTATGTAAGCCTGTGGGCAAAGGATTTTACCACCTTTTTTGACAAAAAAAACAACAAAAAAAAACTTTTAAACATGCAGACAACCTTTATTAATTATTATATTTGTATATACTATACTTACTGTAGTATGTTTTTCTTATTTTTTTTAGTAAAACCCATAGTGCAAAATAGAAGTCTTGCTTGAGGAAATATATTTTTTAATCAATTTTGTTCAAACCTGCCAAAATATATTTCATTTCCAGTTTTTAAATACATTTTAAATAAAAAACAAAATGTGTTTTTATAGATTGATTGATTGATTGAAAATATATAAAAATAAGCAAAAATAAATATATTATTAAATAAAACTGACACCGTGTGTGCGATATTTATTGTATACTATTATTATTAAATCTGCTATATTATTTATATATATATATATATATATATATATATTGAAATCTAAAATTATACTGTAATCTATATATAAATACAAATAAGAAAACTTAATTGAATTAAATTAAGTTTTTAAAACTAAGGTCTGCGGATTAAGCCTTGTGTGTGAATTATTTCAGCATATTATTTTTAACCTATGTTGTTGTTGTTGTTGTTTAACCCCACTGTCAAATAGTTGTTTTTCTATTTTAAACTTTTGACTTTTTTCATATTTATGCTTAAAACAAGATTTTCTATGTGCCCTGACCTCTGCGTGTGTTGCAGGACATTCGTGAGATGACAGACAGGCACACCTAGAGGAGCTCGGGGGTGAAGCCCCCCACGGCGAAGGAAACGGCCCGAGGAAGGGCCTCATGCTGAAGGGAGAGGGGCCCGGCTGCTCCTTACACAATGAAGTTCTTGGAAGATTCTTGGAAGGTATTGTGATTTACGGATTCATCTTTTTACTCCCAGCTCACTTTGAAACATGGAGCAGTTTCTCAAAGAATGAGGTGTTTCGTGTGTGACCCAACTGACTGAACCGCATTTTGGGGCCCTCAGAATATTAAAAGAAATATATCGCATAAAGCAGCTAACATGTCAACACAAGCTTTTATCATCCCTTTGTCATTAGAAGCCTTTATGTGGAATAATCTTTCCGACACAATTTGACACGCATAAATTCCATTAATGTTTAAAGACACCCTATCTGCTTCTACGCCTAATTACCCTGGCGCTCCTCTCACTGTGACTGGACTCTCATTATGCTCCGGGGGTATGAAGAAAAGGAGGTTTAACATCCATAAAAGAAAGAGCCTTCTTATGTTCTGGAAAGTGGATAAACAATGACCTTTAACCTTTGCTGGATTAGGCTTCATTAGGGGGTGACCCTAAACCTCTTTTCACCCATACACTCATCTCTCTGGGATTAGTGGTCTCTGACCAGTAGGTCTATGGGCATTTAAAAGCAAATAGTGCTGGTAAACAATAGCTTCATCAATACGTATGGTTTCTTGTTATTTTCAGTCTAGATAGGTTGGCTAGTTAGTTGTGTACATCATTATGCAGAAAATTATAACGAATTACAGGAATAAATGCTTCTATGTACCTAAAAATAAATGTTTATTCCACCAGTTGTCCCAAAACAAGGCAAAGAAAGCCAGGGATTTAAGATCCATTGAGTGCAAATCATTATGCACTTAAATTAGGATTAAGATAAAGCCACTTTGTTTCAAAAGTGCTGTCAATTCTTTCAAAAGGTTAATCTTTGCGAGTCGATAAGGTTATCAGTCAATAGTTGATGGTCTATTTTGGCTATTTTCTATGTATAAAAACTAATTCTATGGCACGTTTCTATGTATTGCTACTTTGACTACAGTAAAACACTAGTGAACAGTGTCTATCATAACCATCTAGAAGAGAAGATAACTTACATGCCATCTATTCTTGAGGGACACAAAGTCAATTATTTGACAGTATGATGTATATTTTATCAGTTGTATTGATGAAAGTCAAATAGTGTGCCATGTAGCAAGCCGAATTGTGCTTTCTCAAGTCAAAACACATTAATCAGCAAATAATTCACACCCATTGTTTTGTTGGTGTGTGTGACATAGAGGCCTATAATGACAAAGAATATAAGATCTTAAAGAAAAAGTAATGTTTGTTTAATGGCACCATAGCTGGGTTGAAGTCAACATGAAACAGTGTTTGAATACCGTTGAATGTAGTAGATATCAGTTTTTTGAGATGTCAGATGGGACTTTTTCTCAAGTGGATTGTAAAAGTGAATTCTTTATGGCAGTTGGTTGGAAGGGAGGGTTTGGAAAAGTTTATCATTTTTTGACAAGATTACAAAAGCGACAAGTAAATGATGTCCAACCGTTTGGTTCCCACTGAAGTCCATTATATGGAGAAAAATGTGTATTATGTTAAAATGTTAATTTTTTTACACACAATTTTTACACACACTCACTCCATTAGAGGACAGTTGTGGTGTTTTGTAATGCCGGTTAAGAGCGCAGGGAAGATGTGCTTTGGAATTGACCGACTTTAGCCCTGTGGCTTGTGCGTGTGGTGTCTTCATAAATCAAGGGCTGAACACACACATGCATTGATCTCAAACTGTCCCACAAATACTTTCCCAGCTCCACACGTTCTCCCAGGACTGTCCCCTGCACACACACACCCCACAGGGTGTATCCCAGCCTCAATCAGATCTCACACCTGTCCTTGTCTACCACTCCGAAAAGCCTCACGTGTCGGCGTAGCGTGTGGATCTCACTGGCTATTTGGCATTTTTGTGCCGACCCCTCGAGGGTTTCAGAAAATGCTAGTTCTCCAAATGTCATTTTTCAGAAAACAGCCAGCAGTCATTCACATCTCAAAATCTAATTTATCTGTCAATCACTTAATTCATGTGACTCACTGCTGAAAATAACTCTGGGTCAATTGTGCTTGTATAATGCTTTCATAAATCATGTTTTATCCCTTGCATTTTATATATATATATTTGCAAACAAAAATAGGTTTTAAGAACGAGTTGCTAATGTAGGTTATTAAAACAAAGTTATGGTTATGCGAACATTAAGAAAATGTTCCATTTTAGCGTTACTTTTAAATGTTCTTTGAACATTCTGAAACATTAACATTTGAAAAACATTACACTAAACACTAAATTGTTTCAGGAAAAAAAAAAACCTTCTATGAACACACTATAAATTATGTTTTTGTGCAAATGTTTTGAGAATATTCTTTAAAGGGATAGTTCACTTTGAAATTAAATTTTGGTGTTTTATCTTACCTCAAGGGCATCGAAGATGTAGGTCTTTGTTTGTGCTGTATTTTCAATTTTGATAATTTTAGGTCAAACCGTTCTTGTCTATCAGCCATATAATGGAGGTCTATGGTCACCACCTCAAAGAGCATGCACAGAGAAGTCCAAATTAAACATGATTTAATGACTCGTAAATGTAAGTACACATTGATGGCTTAAGACACGAAACGAGCGGTTTGTGTGACAAAACGAACAGTATTTATATAGTTTTTACCTCTTGTAACCACAGCCACGTCCAAGTGATCTGAGGGCTTGGGCGCTTTGTGGAGACGAGGTAAAAACTGTATAAATAATGTTCGTTTTCTCACACAAACCGCTCGTTTCGTGTCTTTACATTTACGAGTCATTAAATCAAATGTTTAATTTGGACTTCTCTGTGCGTGCTCTTTGAGGTGGTGACCATAGACCTCCATTATATGACTGATAGGCAAGAACGGTTTGGCCTAAAAATATTAAAATTGAAACTACTGTGGAAAAAGACACCTACATCTTGGATGCCCTTGAGGTAAGCTAAAACATACCAAAAATGAATTTCAAAGTGATCTATCCCTTTAAGTCTAGATAACTTGGAACATACATTTTATTAACATTACTGGAAGAATGTTCGTTTTAAAACTTTGAAAGAGCCTTGCCCAGAAAATTACTCAAAGTTCTGTTTGCTGGAATGATTTTACTGACTGATTTCTTTGACATGAATTATTCTAATGAATGTGTGTGACCTTTATGGTCATCGGTTCTTAAATGTGTTTCATGTCTTAATGACAGTAGGAAGGCAAACAGCGCAAACATGGCTCCCATCTCTTGTCACCTTCCTGCGAGAGAACATATGGCCGGAGACGCTTTAGTGTGATGAAAGCAAACACAACAAGGACAATCCACATCAGACCAACAGACTGAAGTCCAAACGCTGATTAAAAACAAGAAAAGAGACAAAAATGTCATGCAGTTTGTACTCGTCTTACGGGTTTGTTACAAATGGATGTGTTTCAGCCAATGTGGAAGTTATGCATGCAATTTGAAAGAGCATTTGAGAGTTTCCCCAAAGCCTCCTGAGGATGACTCCTCTGGTCATGTATTTACTGGGTGGAAGCACCAGTTTTCAAAGAGAGATGGTTGTATTGCTCAAGTAGATAGATTTTTATCTCTTTTCTTGTCTTTGTCTTTTTATGATCCGACCTGAGGTGATTCCCTGTGTTCTTGGAGGGTTCTGCTTCAGATACTTTCTGGAATCCTTGTCCGGGTGTTCTGTTCACCACTGAACAGCCCCGGGACACGAGATTAACATGCACTGACGTGTGTTTCTTCAACCCTTTCTATAGATGTTGCAACTTTCAATCGTAACGTTTAGCGTGTGAAATATAATGGTTGACGGAACCAGATACATTTGCAAATGGTTTTCATATGAAATCTGCACAGTTTCAGCCACAGACCCTTGAGAAATAAAGAGAAGAGGGTCTAGATCTTGTGTTTTTCGGAAGGGTCTCGCTTTACCCAGCTTGGTCCCTTTAGCACCTCTCCGTCTACAACTTCAGAATGTTTCAGGGGCCAGTGGTCTAGTCTAGATGACAGAGCATTTGCATGTTTAAAGGCTGAATGCAGACTTTACAATGCCTTGCTTTCATTCTTTCCTGAGCATCCAGGTTTAATCACAAAAGATGAAAGAGACTAAGTCATGGAGGTCTAAAACCCGATCTGACAGTTGTTGCAAACCTGTCAATCATTTGGCCTGGTCTTTTCTATCAAAAATACAATAAAATACTGTAAAATATGATTACAATTTAAAACTACTGTTTTCTATTTGAATTTATTTTATATGTAATTTATTCCTGTGATGCAAAGCTGAATCATCAACATCATTACTTCAGTGTCACATGATCCTTCAGAAATTATTCTAATTGGCTGCTCAAGAAACGTTTCTGATTATTATCAATGTGGAACACAGTTGTGCTGCTCATTGTTTTGTGTGGAAACTGTCAATTTCTTTTTTAAGAACAGCATTTATTGGAAACAGAAATCTTTTGTAACAAATGTCTTTGCTTTTGATCTATAATGCACACTCTTAGAAGAAAAGGTTCTATTTAGAACCTTAAAAGGTTCTATTAGCGCTACGTATTTGGAACCCCTAAAATGATCTATACAGAATCCTTTTTAAAGGTTCAATAATAAGAACCCTTTAGGGTTAACCAGGAAAAACGTTCAATATGGAATCTTTTGGGTTCGTTCATTATCATTTTATTTTGTCCTTACCGGATGAAATATTTCATATCATTGACAAACATCAAGACCCTAAAATGTTTTTATGAATGCATGTGAATTATCACAAAATTCAAGATATGGGGGTTAGAAAATGTATGTATTTATATCATTTTATGTATTTAACCAATATCACACGAAGAGTGCCATTTCAGTTTATCTCCTCCAAGCATGATTAAAATGTGATATTAAGTTACTACAGCAGATTAATAAACAATAATTTAATTACAACTACAAAATGTTGCAGAATGATGTAATATATGAATGAATAATAGCCTATAGAGAACCTTTGTGCCAAAAGGGTTCTTTCTTGTCATTATAGAACCATTTTTAGTTGAGTAAAGAAACCTATGCTTCATAAATAGAACCCCAGTGAACCCTTTTTTCTGCTGAACAAGTGATTTTATTAATCAATTTTTGTTCCTCTTTTAAGACAGCATTTTACCAAGACCAATGATGGATTTTTAGACATTTAATCGAATCATACAACTGTGCTACTCTTCAAGAGCCAACTAGGGCAGTAAGTCAAATATTTACCACTAGCATTAAGTGTTTTTAATTGCTAGTTAATAATTTGACTCTCATATGTTCAGATAATTGTAATGTGAAAAGACAGGCCCTTATAACTATAACGCTTCAGCGTGTTGTGGTGGGAAAAGTGAGAAACCAAATATAACGTTTTAATGAGCTAATGTATGTGGTTTATGCTTCATAATTCAGTTTACTTTAGGCTTGAGCATGAAGGTTCAGTTATGGGATTGCAGTTTGTTTGGGCAAGTCAGTGCTACTGTATCAATATAACACTCCTACACTTTAATGTTTTATTGACCCGCTGCAATCAGACCCTTTAGACTTTCAACAAATGTCAAGCCAGCCACCCCCTCACCTTGACCTGAATTCCACCACTCAAACATTCCTTCTTTTCTTTAAAGCTTTAGTCTTGTGCAACTGAAGAAACACACCTTCTTATCATTAAATCATGTTGTTCTTATGTGATTTTCTGAATGGTGCCGATGAAAAGATCCAAACACAATGAGTCATCTTGCTCATTCTTTATTACTTTATAAAACAAAGTGCACTTGAGGATGAACAGAACTTTTTTTTTTTTTTTTCTCAAAAAACCTGGAAATGAACCAAGGGGAAAAATCCTAAATAATTTATGATACATAATTAACAGGAGGTATTTACATAAAAAAAAGTTGCCATTATGAAGGCAATAAAATAGCCAGGTTTGTTCCTGGTAGAGGTAGATAAACAGAAGGGAACATACAATAACCAACAAAGTAGACACATGGAGTCAAAAACAGAGTGTGAACACCCTCCATAACTCCAGACCTCAACAATACAAGCTTTGCATGAACACAAAATCCAATATAGTTTATCTTTCCAGTTTGAACATCACATTAAATGCAAACTTTAATTCTATAAAAATGTAATCTGCAAATTACATTCAACCCCTTATTTTAACATCCTTTGGATCCAGCCCAAAACATTAGGAAAAAAAAAAGTGTGTATGCCAAGAACAAACAGGTAGAATGTGTGAGGGCTCGTTTATTTTAAGGCTAACAATGCTTTTAACCGATTATGCAGTCTATGAAAGGGTTTCATATTAAGACTCAAGAACAAAATGACTTTAACAATTGCAAAGTCACAACACTGAGAACATTTCTAGCATTGACCATGCGTGTTTCCAAACGGTGACATAAAATCCGAGGTCTCCGCAGTTAGTCAGTCAAAAGTGTTACGGTCCCCTTAGACAACTATCTAGTGGCCAAACCGGCAACGTTCAGTCCCAGACGCTCACAGTCTCTTGAGCTTCTCCAGTCTGCCTTTCAGCTGTTCTTGTCGTTGTCTAAGTTTCTCTCTCTTCTGTGCAAGTCTCTGGTTCTCCGTTTCCAGATTTCTTATGCTTTCTTTCGCCCGCTTTAAAATCACCACCTTGGAAGCCTTGTCGTTACTGGACAGTTCGGGGACGTTGTCCCGTAGCTTAAGAAAGCAGTTCTTTAACTCGTTGCGCCTTTGCCTCTCCATCACGTTGTGCGTCCTCCTCCTCTCTTCTTCGTCCTCCGTGTCCACCGGCTGTCGGGAGGCCAGACTGCGAGAGCGGCCTGAACTCTGCGTGCTTCGGTGGGAGTCTCCAGACCCTCGGGAGCGTTTGGGAGGGGGGGAAGGCGGGGGAGGAGGAGAGGCGGGCCGTGGGGCGGCGTAGTTGTGCTGTTGCTGAATTTCAAAGTGACATCGCTTGAGAGCGAGCTCCTGCTCACGCCGACTGTCCTCCAACTGCTGCTGGTGCTGAGAACGCGTCAGCGTGCTCGACTTCCGTACGGTCACTACGTCAATCTCCTCGTCTGTGGAGCACAAACGTTTCATTAGTTCAAGTCTGTTTGGTTTCAATCTGGCAACAAACTTACTAGCCACTCTCTTTTAACTTTAGGACACTTATGCACGTGTATCAGAAAATAAACATTCTAAATGAATCAAATGACTCACCAGAATCGCTTGTAGATGATTCTCCCCCGGTGGACAGTGAACCGTAATCAGACGTGGACTCGATCAGCTCCTGGCTGTCCGGCGGTAAGCCCTCGCTCTCCAGAGCCTGACAAGCGAGCGCCACATTGTGGCAATCCAGCGTAGAGCCGGCGATTTCGGCAAAAATCTCAGTGTCAATATCGGAGAGCAAGGGACTCGTGGCGAGCACCGCGGAGAGTTTATCCTCGATGTGTTTGCCTCCGTCGGTGGCGCGCCACAGAAAGTCCCCCGAGAGCGGGTCGTCCGCGGCAGACGCGGTGCCGGTAAAGTTCCAGTCCAGTTGGAGAAAGTCGCTATCCTCCATTAAAAGTTCAGATACCAACTCTAACTGGTCCACCGTGGACAAGTTCTTCGCGAGCTCGGGTTTCATCGGAGGAGACTGGGGCGGCGTGGGGATGGACTGCAAGTCCTTCATGAGACTCAAACAAAACTCGTCGTCAAACAGCAGCGGCTCGGAGTCGCAGAGCCACTCGTGCGATGGAGAACAAGCTTGCAACATCTTGACCGAACCTGTCAGAAAAGAATCCTTTAGAAAAAGTTTGCATTCAAAATCCCATCCGGCTTTGTACTACCGACAAACAGCGGCTTGTTTCTCAACGGCCTGCGAAGTGTTGTTCTCATGCACTGCCGGTTTGCAAAGTTTCGCGGCTCGCGCGTCCATTTTATTCGTGTTTACAATGGTGGCCCCGCCCAAGTGGGCGGAGTTCCCGTCGACCGCGCGTGATGTCACCGAACAGCTGGAAAGGTCCGCAAGAGTTTTGTTCCAAACTACTTTTTTTTCCTTCACATTTAAAAAGTTAAATCATTCGGTTTGACTTTTAGAAAGCGAATAAACAAAAAAGATGTTTATGTCGTCAATTAATTACAAGTAATTCATCTAAAACAATTTTCTCTGATAATACTAATGTGACAAAAAACCTCTATTCTATATTCCTGTGGCATTGAATAGTGTTTTAACTGAAAAAGGTTGCTATGTCGAAAAGTTCAACAAAGAAAATCCCTGCGGATATGAACGTAACTAATATTTAAACTCTTAACAGTATTGTTTAAATGGAATAAAGCAGATACTTAACAGTATATAGTTATAGATAAAGCCTTTATACTGTACAGAATGCAGACAAATTGACGTGTGAGTGAATAGACAATGAATGAAAAGACATGCAATTATCGCGTATTAAAGTACACAATGGATCATACTTTACAACACTTTTACTGATTTCTTAACGAGTAACTTATTGCAAGAAGCCGGTAGACATGCAGGAAAAGAACAAAAAGTCACGTCTTACCTTTTTTTCCAGAACAATATGGCGAAAAAAGGAGATTGACAAAGACGGTCAGTCTAAAAAAAATTGTACAATTATTTTTAAAATAGTTGGAAAAACCGCAGAGCCTCCTTGCGGCATGTCAGAGCCCACGCGGACAGAAGCTGGCAGTGGGTGTGGCGACGAATGGAGACCATTTAATTTTAAAGGGCGATGCACAACCGCATTCCTCCGCGTTAAAAAACTCGCGCCAAAACTCTTCGGCAAATCTTGAATGAAAACCTTTATTGTGATGGCGCCTAATTAAAGTCTGTAGCTTGTTGTTTGATAAAATCCTGCACGCAAAAGCGGTTGAGTGGCCGTGGTGTAATGAAGGGAACATACGCCCAACCTAGTGCTCTGGCGGAGTGCACTCAATGAACCACCAAGCAATTCCAAGAAAAAGAAGGGGTTGGGGGTAGTAGCTCACACACGTGTGCGAGTTCACAATGCCGGCCTGGTTTGCAATTGCGATAGTAGTGTAGCGTCTGCAAAAAAAATAGTAAGAAAGCCGTGATCACGTTGTGCTGTGGTCTGTTTTGGCGGGTAATATACGTACAAGGACATAGTGTTCTCAAACAGACACTCCTTACATACACAGTTACAACTAATCTCGCGTGACTTAAGGGATAGAAATGTGAACTTATATATGTGCCTGCAAAGCATATGAGGAAGATATAGGCGTTGGTTACGTAACAAAAGAATCGCATCCGGCTCTACACGTGCAGGGTAAAATCACCCCCTCTTCAGGTGGCGGGAATGATTTATGAGTCTCCCGCGAATTCGACATGGGCGGAATCCTGCATTCTTCAAGACCACTGACCTCAGAATGCAAGAAAGAGAAGATGTAATTCTCATGCACGCTCATTGAGGTGTATCATGCTATATTCCCTCTTAAACAATTTAAAATGAAACATGCCGTTTTCATGACATCATATTAAAGAGACAAAATGTGGTATTTCAATCGTGCAACATGGTTTTCATGTAATTCAAAACACCAAGTATGAAAATGACCATGGATTAGCTATGTATAGCTATATAACTTAATCTTTAGGCCTGTGTTAATTATTATTTTTATAATCTTTAATTCCTTTTGAGTTCAATAATAATCCAGGATAGTGAGGATACACAAACTAACATTTAATATATCACACTGCTCATAAGTGAGTGAAATGGACAGAATTGAATGTATTTTTGAAAGTCCTATAAATGTTGCCACCTAGAGGCCATTATTGAATGAGGCTTGTGTACCCAGTGAACTCCAGACAGAAGTACAGCATTACCACACCGCTCGGCTTGCTTTCTTTCAGCATCCCGTACCTTCTACCATGCACTCAGTGTGTCCTTCACACTTTGATCTAGATGCAATGCTCAGTAACATTAGTAATAAGTGAATGCATTGATCCCAACATAGCCAGGTGTGTGTGCATAGGCCTACTCAATTCAGTCCTCTACCTGATCATAGCTTTTGACCATAAATAATGTACATGTCAGATTTTTCAGGCACACACCCATAGAAAGTTTGTTGTTAGACCAGCTTTTTCATGCAGTTTATGGTGGCTATGTGTGGTTGTAAAACGTAATGAGAGGCATATTGCTTCTAGCTATCTCTTAAATAGCTCCAATATGTAGTTCAGCTACATGTTTCAGACATGTGGACATGCCATTTAAATGGCTTGTGTTGATTCAACAAAGAATCCCATTGTTTGGAACATTAGTTTGCCTCATCAGCACTGCTTAAAGAAATGTTGCAATTTTAAAGCAGAAGCATTTACAGTTCTATTAAGGTTTGGTTTCTTTTATCGGTAAAGAGAATATTTTGAGACAGACACAAAGGTGCGCAAAGGCATGTTCACACGCTGTTGTCTTGTAGCGCTGAAATGTTAAATAAATGTTAAATGATTATCTTAAAAAAAGAAAAAAATGAAGTGGGGTGCAATAAATGAATCATCATGGATGACAAATGTGGAAGGGGGTTTTCTACAACAGATAATAATACACGTTCACGTCCACACAGATTAAACTTCGAGGGAAACCTTATAGGGATAGTTCACTTTGAAATTAATTTTTGATAGGTGTCTTTGTTTCCACAGTAGTTTCAATTTTGATATTTTTAGGTCAAACCATTCTTGTCTGTCAGTCATATAATAGGCTTGCGCAGAACGAAGCGCCCTCAGCCTCAGAGTACTTGGAGGTGGCTGTGGTTACAAGAGGTAAAAACGATATAAATACTGTTCGTTTTCTGACACTAACCGCTCGTTTTGTGTCTTGGGCCATCAATGTGTACTTACATTTGCATGTTTAATTTGGACTTCTCTGTGCATGCTCTTTGAGGTGGTGACCATTGACCTCCATTATATGACTGACAGACAAGAACGGTTTGACCTAAAAATATCAGAATTGAAACTACTGCGGAAACAAAGACACCTACATCTTGGATGCCCTTGAGATAAGATAAAACACACCAAAGATTATTTTTTAGTGAACTAACCCTTTATGAAAGGATCACATAAAGAAAGCATCATGGATGCTTTTTTTAACTCTAAATTGACACAACCTTTGTTAGAAATCAATGATATGCATTCATGTATATTTATTGTACACTACTGATGTCATATGAATTTAATACATATTTTTATATGAGTTTAAGTTTTAAATAACCTTAACTTTTTTATTTTATTAGTTTAAAAAAATAAAATAAAAAAATAAGCCTTAGATTAAGCCAGGATTAGACCTTAGTTCAACTACGACATTTAAGTGGCTTTTATAATCATGTATAAGAAATAAAACATTACTGGTGTGAATCTTGAGACAAAACAATGACACTGACATATTTTATTATATACCAGTGCAGCTTTCAGTTAAAACAGCTCAAACATGCATTTTAGCCTTAAGCATGGTCTGTGAAACCAGGCATTAATGTTATATGACCCTTTATATGACTTTTAGCATTTTAAGGTAAAAAAAAAACTGTACTTATTAGTTGTGTTAAGAATGCTTTTACATCACTTTTCTTAGAATATTTACATATTATTTTCAAAGCAAATGCTTAAACCAAAGAAAACGGAAAAATAAGTTTGCGCTGGTTTTAAAATAGCAGCTGAAGCCAGAATAGCGCACTATTCTTATTTTCTCCATATAAAGATATGGCAGGAATAGTAAGATGCATATGCCATTCTCAATTCGGCCCTTCTTGCTTCTCGTGACCTTTAACCTTGCTGATTCGGCTCATGTTAGCTTGAATAAGGACGGACAGCGGGTTCCCGTAGTTCTACCACAAGATGTTGTAAGAGGTTCACCATGGCACATCGTGGTTTTGCTGTTCCCCCAGATAACATTGTCAACTTCAGGGTATAAGGAAGATAAGACGGAAGACACTACCTAACAATGTTCTCTGCAGGCAATCAAGCATTGCAACACAAGTGGCCACCGAAGTGTGTGTGTGTGTGCGGGGGTGTGGGGGATGTGTCGCCTGTAAACCGGTGATAGTAACTGTTTCCAGAACTGCTCCACGGGGGTCCTGCTGAACAACATCCACTGATGCTGCTGCATATCTACAGTCACACACTGTAACTGATTTCTCTCAGGAAAAGGCCAATTCACTGGAAGCTGATATTTGATCAGTTATCCTCTGAGACTGTTACTCATTTACCTTCAGCATCCTTCTGTAGTGTTAACTGTGGGAAGCATTTAAACAGGCTTCAAATGTGCCGAGGTGCAGATATTGAACTTACAGGAAATAACTCAAACATTTCAGCAGATCACAGGGCTCTAAAAATGCTGGTTTGTTTTAACCCAAATTTGGGTCAAATATGGACAAACCCAGCCATTGGGTTACTTTTTTTTTTAATTTTTAACCCAATGTTTGAGTTTGTCCTTATTTGACCCACAATTGGGTTAAAACAACCCAGCATTAATTTTTTTTTTTTTTGCTGTTTTTTTATTGCACTGATACATGGAGTAAAATAGTTAAACTCATAAAAATAAAAAATAAAATAATATATGAAGAGTTCAGATGCAAAAGCCTCTAAGTGCCATTTGAAATTTTCTTCTAGAATGATCATTTTTATCAAGCTTGTATATTTAAGTTCAGTGATTTCACTTAAATGGCAACGATAATTACCTATTAATTGTTATTTAAGTGAAATTACTGAACTTAAATATACAAGTTTGATAAAAATCATCATTAAAGAAGAAAATTTCAAATGGCATTTAGAGGCTTTTGCATCTGAACTCTTCATATATATATATATGTTTTCACTCTAAAAATACTGGGTTGTTTTAAGCCAACTTTGGGTCAAATATGGACAAACCCAAACGTTGGGTTAAAAATGTAATTAAAAAATTTAACCCAATTGCTGGGTTTGTCCATATTTATCCCAAAATTGGGTTAAAACAACAAGTACACAGCACACTCTAAACAATGCTGGGTTGTTTGAACCCATATTTAGGTGAAATATGGACAAACCCAAATATTGGGTTAAAAATATCATTTCAAATTTCAACCCAACTTCAACTTTCATTTTCAACTGTCCATTTTTAATTGCATTTTTAACCCAACATTTGGGTTTGTTCATATTTGAGACAAATTTGGGTTCAAACAAGCATTTTTTTTAGAGTGCATATTAATATTGGTCTATGTATTTATGCATTTGCAGATGCTTTTATCCACAGAAACATTGCAATTAAGGTATACATTTGTCCATGCATTCCCTGGTTAAGGTCAAAATGAAAGATTTTTATGTATAGAACAATTTTCAGATATGTAGAAATCATTAACCAAGACTAATAAAAGCTATCATTGTTAGTCAATGTCGACTTATTAACTTAGGTAAAACAAACGTCTTTAATGGTACTTTGAGGCCACAGATTGGTTTTATCTCAGCCATACGTAAAAAATTAAACCTAATGAGGTTTAGAAACAATACAAGTTGTTGAGTAAAACTGAAAGCGTTCACTGATAAGTTTCAAAGAAGCGGCTATGCTTTACTGCTCCTCTCTCTGCCCTGAGCATGACAGGTTTCACTTCTGCTTTAGATGCACTGTCAATTTGATCACACACCACCAACAGTTAAAGACCCTACGGGGCCCCTCAAGGCGACGAATCAGACAGTACAGAAGCTATGATGAACGTTATGGGATTCATAGGCTACTTCTTTTTTTGGCCTGCTTGAATGATGTTTTCCTTCCTCTTTGACACTTAACTTATACTACAGTTAAGCAATATTGGAGAGCGGGTATTTATTTTGTCCCACATTAATTTCACAGACGTAGCACAATTATGTGGCTTCGTTTTATTAATATAGTGTATTGATTTTTTTTTTTTTTTTTTTTTGATAACCCCCGAACGAATGGAAGTGAAATGTGACAACATGTCC